CAACAGCTTAAGTTGTCCTCTGGTTTCCAATCATGCACACATAGCATGTATATGTATGCTAATACATATATGCATGTACAAATAAGACACAAACACTGTCTACAAGTAATAAGAAAAAGATAATACAGCAAGCAAACTGGCAAACTCTTGACTGGAATTTCACAGACAAGGTGCATCTCTGAGTTCCAAGCCAGCCTGGTCTACAGAGCAAGTGCCAGGATAGGCTCCAAAGTGACACAGAAAAACCCTGTCTCGAAAAACCAAAAACCAAACCAAAACAAAAAACCAAACCATAAAAAAAAAATTAGGGTTTCATTGTCTATTAAAAAAATACAACTTCAGACCACACAATGCCATTTAAAGTTTTTGGAATAGAATTAGAAGAGTTGGCATGAAATATTGGCAAGAAACACAGAATAGGGACTATCTAATAGATGTCACAGAGGTATAAAACTGGTAATACCCTGCTGAAAAATAATTTGATACTACCATATGAAATTGAGCATTCATATGCTCTTCTATGGGCAATTCTCAATTTTTTAATAAAAATACTTTTATGCTTGTATTTTAAGTAGAACCATCCTACATAATAAAAACAACAAAACTGAATCTATTCAAAGATCCATTGGCAAAAAAGTTACATAAATTGGGCTAAAATTCACATAATAGAGCACTATATAGTAGTGAAAGTGAATGAACTATAGCTGTAGGCAATGACACAAGTGAATCTTAAAAACAATGAGCTGGGGAAAGACAAGACTTCTAAGTGGGAACATCTTCCTCTCACTCATCCCTACACCAGCACTTAGCATTCTGTCACAAGAAATTCTCCCAAAGAAAGAAAATGGGTTTTTATTTTGTTTGGTGGCTAATATGGCCTCATATTTTGCTCCTAATTTTGTTTGAAAATGCCATGATTCCATGGCTGGAAAAGAAAACCAAAAATGTAAGTAATTGTGGATGATGAACTTCAAAATCACAAAAGGAAATGAAGCACATTTGAAAGCTACTGACGTCCAAAGAAGCCATCACATGGCAAGCTGACACTTGACTCTTTGCAATTATGTTTTGGTTATAAGTCTGAATTTACAGCATTTATATAATGTAATGTTTCTATGTGGTCTTTTATCTTCCAATATTTGATTGAAATATATAAATATTTGTAAATATGATGTTCCTCCAAAATATAACCCTCTTTGTGCAAGCTTTAAAAAACACAATGAATGGATACTGGGGTGGTTTGAATGAGAATGACCCCCATAGGCTCAGGTGTTTGAACACTTGGTCTCCAGTTGGTGGAACTGTTTAGGAAGGATTAGAGGCCTTGTTGGAGCAGGGTGCCACTGCAGACAGGCTTTGAGGTTTCAAAAGATGCACACCATTCCATTGCATTCTCTGTCTCCCGCTTGTGGGTCAGAATATGAGCAATAGAAAAATGAACAAGACAGATAAAAAGCATTTTCTTTTTGTATTGAACAAGAGACAAAGTGAGGCACAGTGGCACATACCTCTAATCTCAGCACAGGAGAGGAGGAAGCAGTAAGAGCCTGAGTTCAAATCCAAGGCCAGCCAGAACCACAAAGCCAGACCTTGTTGGGACAGGGTGGGGAGTGACAAAAGCCAATTGAAGATGATATAGCTTCACCAGAATTGGAAAAAGAAAAGAATGTGGAGTATAGGACTTGATCACAGTTAACCCTCTTAGTAGTGATCGTTTTAACTTTGAAATGGATGACTCACAAATAGTTATGTTTACTACTGGCTTCCATATGTGACACATAATCTGACATGTTCAAATTGTATATTTTTCCTTTTTTTGCATGTGTGAGTATTGTATGCACAACCATGTGTGTGTATGTTCATATTTGAGAAGATGGTATTATATATATGACAGCCTGGAGTTGACTTCTAGTGTCTTCCTTGATTGCGCTCATTTTATTTTCTGGCAGTTTCTCACTGGAACCCAAGCTCACCTATTCTTGTTACTCTAACCACCCAGTTGTCTTCGGTAATCCCATCTCTACCTCCCTAATGCTAGCATTATAGGTAGTTGCCAAGTCTGCCCAGCTTTTACATCAGTTCTGGGGACCCAATGGGGTTCTCATGCCTAGACAGCAAATGCTTTATTTACTGAGTTATTACCCCAGCCCCAGTAATTTAAACAATGAAGTCAATAAAGAAGACAGAGGAGAGGGTAAATCACTAATCTATCAAGTATGCTTTCCTAGTCTATGAGGGAAACAAAGGCAAAGGTATAGTTTTCTCCCATTCAATTAGTCTTCCAATAAAGATACTTCTTTTTCTGGGCATTAAATAACATACAGGGCTGTGATTCAATGGAGAATTTTGGAGACGGGATAAATACAAGGGAATGAACTGTTAAGAAAGCAGTGTTGGAAGATGTCTTCAGGTAATCAAACCAGTTTTGAGTAATCAAACTTTCTTCTGTAGCAGTGGCTCTCCGAAATGGACCAACAAGGTGATATTTCTTGGAGTCTTGCCTCACCAACCCATCCCTACCAGGAAGAGGCCCAGAAATCTCTTGATAAGCTTTCTAGCAGACTAAAGTACTTACTCAATTTTGAAAACTACTGGTTCAGACAGATAAAGCTTAAGAGACACCACAGAACTAAAGGAGCAAAAGCTGATGTGAGATGGTTGTCTGAAGGGGGAAAATGTGTCTAGTACCTTGCAGAGGGAAGAGGAAGGTATGCTGGCTAGATTTGTGTTAACTTGACACAAGCTAGAGACATTTGAGAGGAGGGAACCTCGATTGAGAAAATGCCTCCACACAATTAGGCTGTAGACAAACCTGTAGGGCATTTTCTTAATTGGTGATTGATGGGGGAGGGCCAACCCATTGTGAGTGGTGCTGTTCCTGAGCTGGTAGTCCTGGGATTTATAAGAAAGCAGGTTGAGCAAGTCATGAGGAGCCAGTCAGTAAGCAGCATCCCTCCATGGCCTCTGCATCAGCTCCTGTCTCCAGGTTTCTGCCCTGTTTGAGATCCTGTCCTGACTCCCTTCAATGATGGTCTATGATGGTCTAAGCCAAATAAGCCCTTTCCTCTCCAACTTGATTTTTGGTCATGGTGTTTTGTGTCAGCAACAGAAACCCTAAGATAGCAGGGAAGGAAATAACCCAGCAAGGAACTCTGACAGAGCTGGAGATGTGGCTCAATGGTACAGCATTTGCCTAGCATACACAAGGCCCTAGGTTCAATTCTTCAGAAACACACACACGCACCAGGTAGTGGCAGAAAAGAATTAAAGACATAATTTTATCCATTATCTTTGCCCATACCACACTAACTTACAGCACTTCTAAAATATGATTTAATAATATAAGCATATTTTTCATTTAATGTATAATAGGGACCCAATTATATAAATATATATTTGTGTCAATCCATATATGAGAAGAAATTAAATATTGCACATTGAGGTGGTGGTTGGGTGTGGTGTGCACATTGAGGTGATGGTTGGGTGTGTGTGCACATTGAGGTGATGGTTGGGTGTGGTGTGCACATTGAGGTGATGGTTGGGCATGGTGTGCACATTGAGGTGGTGGTTGGGTGTGGTGTGCACATTGAGGTGATGGTTGGGTGGGTGTGCACATTGAGGTGGTGGTTGGGCGTGGTGGTGCTCACTTGTAATCCCATTACCTGAGAGGTAAAGGCAGGAGGTTCAAGGTCATTCTTTGAGCTACTGGGGTTCAATGGCCAGTCTGGGCTACAAGACCCTAGCTCAAAAAGCAAAAACCAAGACTTTTATAATGACCCCAGTTATCATGCTAACTCAGATAGGGGAAATTTCACAAAGCCCCACCTACCCCTACATGAAGAGCTAAAGGCAGCCAGTGGTTGCTCAGAGAGGGTGATTCTCCAGGGACAAGCCTACTGGTTGATCATCCAATCCCAAGTGATCAGCCCTATATTTTCCTTATATAGCCCTGGCTGGCCTTAATATGTATATATGCCATAATAGTAATTATAACCAAAAAAGTCATAAGTTTGAGGGGACATGAGAAAAACTGGAGGAAGGGTGATTCAGTACTCACACGTGAAATTCTCAAAAAATATGACAATTATATATTTAAAAAAGAAAATAGATAATGACACATTTTGTTTCTGTTGTTGAGTGATGGGCTATGGACGATTTTTGTGAGGAGGGAGTTGCTGAGAATTGAAGCCAGGAATTGTGAATTCTCGGGGAGGGGGCAGTATATGTGTGTGTACCTGCCTAATTTTTACTTTATCTTTATGCTTTCCTGTCGACCATACCTTTGTGCTAATTTTATAACGTAATAAATGCAAAAAAATTTAATAAGGTGAAAAAAATAACATATAGGCTAGAAAATACCTTTTATTTGGAGGTGAACATAAGAAATAAGCAGCAACAACAACAACAACAAAAAAAACCAAAGGAGACCATTATTCCATTAGACAGATATTTGCTGAGACTAAAGACAAGCAAGCATCAGATTAGTTCTCTTAGAAGAAATTTAAGTTTAAACACTACACAGATGGGAACTTGTCAACCTCTTGTAAGACTGTTCAATCTCTCTGTACTGGTTAATTTGTCTATTTATTCTTTGTTTTATATAAACCCTCGATACATTCTAATCCTTAGACTTAAGAACATATATATTTATACTGGAAAACATGATGAAATGATTAAAAAATTGAACCTCAGAAAGTATTTAAAGTGCATAGCTTCACTTTGTAAAATTTTTGTATTTCTTTTGAGACAGGGCTCCTCAAATGTAGTCCTGCCTGTCCTAGAACTTGTTACGTAGACCAGGCTGGACTCAAAGAGACAAAGAGAGATGCACCTGCCTCTACCTTTCAAGTGCTGGAGCTAAAGATATGCACCCTGCAAATTTTTTTTATAAAAATATATTAATTGATTTATAGAGATATAAATATTAACTATCAACATATACTTAGTTTGACTACTAGCAACACAATTTTCACTTAAAACAAAAGGGGCCAAACACTTACTGTGTATCAGGAATTGTGCCACACACTGAGGATACAAAG